TGGATGGATGGATGGATGGATGGATGGATGGATGGATGGATGGATGGTTGGATGGATGGATGGATGGTTGGATGGATGGATTGATAATTAAACATATTCAACCCAAAACATGGATATTTGAAGGCCCCACATTAAACCAAAGATGTTTGTCTCTGTTTAATAAAAAAGTTAAGTCTGGTCCTCTGGACATTCAAAAAACAAAACAAACAAAAAAGTACCATACCATACCAATATATTTATAGAGCACTTAAAACAGCAACAAGGCCAACCAAAATGATCTACAATAGAAACAAACAAGCACAGCGGACAGGAAAACATAAAATAAAAATATAGATACAAATAGCAGCAGATAATAACTAAGTGGCCAACACTGTAGACTACGGACAGGATTAAAACAAATCACTGTCTCAAAGGCAAGGAAATAAAAGTGGGTTTTCAGGCGAGACTTAAAGACTGTGAGTGTGGGAGCCTGCCTGACACGCAGTGGCAACTCATTCCACAGTCTTGGACCTGCAACTGAGAAAGCCCTGTCATCTCTGAGCTTGCAATGGGTTTCTGGAACTGAAAGGAGCCTCTGGTCTGCTGACCTCAGAGAGCGCGGTGGGAAAAAAGGTTTCCTCCTTTTCACCTGATGGCTGACTGGAGTCCTGTTTGGGTTTATTCTCTGCTTTTAGGAAGGCCCAGTTAGGATATCCACATTGCTCTAGAGCAGACCTGGGCGTTGTACGGCCCCAGGGCCACATGCGGCCCTTTGGTTGACTCTGACCGGCCCCCGTAAGGGGAATTACAAAATGCATATGTAAACAAATGAAGTTAACCAAATCCAGATATAGATCCTCTCTCACTGATGATGTCAGCTTTGCTTCACATCTCCACCTCAGACCTTCAACCTGACTTTAACATTTCCGTTAAAGCCCAACAGAGACTAGAATTCTCTCACTAAACAAGAAAAAAGAACTGAAAAACACCAAATGAGCTGTTTAGACTACAAATGTAGGCACGTAAAGAACCGGGACTCGAAATCACAGTTCAGTGACGATCACTATTATATGATGTTTCATAATATTTGGAGTACAAAGACAATATTGTGATATATTTACAAAGCTAAGAACTTTTTCCAGCAGTATATAAAACTCAAAATGAATTTTGGGGTGAATGTGACTGAAAATTATCATTAATATAACGTCACCAATGGTAAAAAATGTTAACAGTTTACCATTGTACTGGGGAATTTAATTGAATAAATGACATTTTTTGTAAGGAAACCTCGCTTTTTCGTTGCTTAATCATAACAAATACTCTTACCAGCTTGTTAAAACAGTGCTATGTACTGCGTTTAATAATGAAATACTATTATTATGCAGTATTGAGTTAAGTTGAAATCAGGTCTCTCTTGTAAATGAGTCCTCGAGGCTCAATGGGATTTACCTGTCTAAATAAAGGTTGAATGAAAAAGTCATTTGTGCCAGCCCTCCACAATATTTGCTGTTTCTCATGTGGCCCCATGGAAAAAATAATTGCCCACCCCTGCTCTAGAGCCTGTCTTGTGTGGGATTTCTCCTTCTGCCTGGCTCCTGAGTTAGTGGGGACGCTGTCTGCTCTGTGATACAGAGTCCTGATGACTCCTAACTTGTGCTCCAAAGGGTGATGGGAGTCAAACTGCAAATACTGGTCTGTGTGGGTGGGTTTGCAGTACACCTTAGTTTGCAAATGTCCTCCATCAGAAACTGAGACCTCACAGTCCAAGAAAGCCAACCTGCCATTTTTTACATCTTCTCGTGTGAACTTGATGTATTTATCCACAAGAGTTGATCTGATCAGTAAAATGTTGGACTTCCTGAGATTTAATTTTAACCCAGTTGTCGTCAACATACCTGAACCAATGACTTGGTGTTGTCCCTGAAAAGGACGTCAAGGCTCTCTTTTCTACCTCCTCCATGTACAGGTTGGCAACAATAGGAGAAACTGGAGACCCCATAGCACACCCATGTTTCTGCCTATAATATTGCTCCCCACATGTGAAGTAGGTTGACTGCAGGCACAGTTTCAAGAGTTGACACAGTTGTTCTGTGGAAAGCGTGGTCCTGCTGCTCAGGAGCCAGGCAGAAGGAGAAATACTACACAAGACAGGCTCTAGAGCAATGTGGATATCCTAACTGGGCCTTCCTGAAAGCAGAGAAGAAACCCAAACAGAACTCCAGTCAGCCATCAGGTGAAAAGGTCGAACAAAGACCCAGACCAGTGGTCATTCCATATGTTGCAGGAGTATCAGAGAAACGGAGACGTTTATTTTCTAAACACAACGTCCCAGTGGCTTTTAAACCCCAAAATACATTACAGCAAAGACTGGTTCATCCCAAAGATCCAGTCCCCCGACACAAACAGAGTAATATTGTGTATGCTGTTCAGTGTCAGGAGGGCTGTGATCAGTCTTACATCGGGGAAACTAAACAGCCACTGGCCAAAAGGATGGACCAGCACAGAAGATCAACATCATCAGGCCAGGACTCTGTGGTCTACACTCATCTCCAGGTCAGCGGTTACTCTTTCAGGGATGAAGATGTTCACATCCTGGATAGAGAGGAACGATGGTTTGAGATAGGAGTAAAGGAGGCCATCTTTGTGAAAAGAAATCGTCCATCATTAAACAGAGGTGGAGGCCTCCGTGTTCAACTGTCCCCCTCTTACAATGCTGTGATTGTTAGTATCACTCAATCCCCTGTGAATAGTAAACAGCCATCAGTGTGCTAATGATCCATTGTTAGGCTGATGGTCCTTCTTGATCATGTGAGCAGCTGGTTTTGGCTGTCAGCAGCAAACTGATTGATACACTCTGAGAAGGTGCTATTTATAAGACTGAGCTGAATACAGCACCTCAGACTGAGGAAGTCTTTCGGATGAAAGACAAAAAGTTTCTACGTTTTTTGTTGTTGTTTTGCTTTGTTTTGTTTTTTGAATGTCCAGAGGACCAGACTCAACTTTTTTAGTTTGTCTAGTCGTTTATTTGACATTTTGGTAGCACACAGACAGCAAAAACATGATTGCCCACATTCACCCTTTGGCGACGGCGGTTACAAACATCTGTTAGATTCTACACCATGCTGTGGACAAACGTCTTGCTGCTACAGTTTTATTTGAGATAAACATTTAGCTGTGGATGAACATCCTGTCATTTCTTCTTTGAAGATTTCACTGAAATCAACTACCGAAAATCGAAGCACATGAAGGCAGTGGCAATGGAGATACTACTGGAGCAGGAGCGAGTGGTGTGGGTGAGTGACGAGATAATCAGGCTGTCGTACCTGGGCAGGAGCCTACAGGCAGCCACCATGAACAGCCTGAGGACGAAACTGGGGGTTTCACATGTGGAGGACGACAACAACAAGGAAGACAGTGAATTCAGTGGCGAAGAGTTGGGCTCAGAACCGTCGAGTGTGTGTGTGTGTGTGTGTGGGGGGGGGGGTGGTAGGATGCTTGTGAGAAGCAGAGTGTGCTCTATTCACACAAGGAGAGCTGTTGGTCAGGCTACTTCTTGTTGCTCTCTAAAATAGTTATTGAATCAAGTGTTTACTTATGTAGGTAATCATAGATTTTTAACAACCAGTTAAAATACACCAGAATGCAGGAAATGGAATCTATTTATTCAAAAATTTATGGGAGAAGGACCCCTAGACACCCCCCCCCCCCCCCCCCCCCCCACACACACACACACAGCTACTTGCATTCCGGTTGGTTTACATTTGAAGCACTGCATGTTGGGGGGCAGTTTCAGTTACTATTACACCAAATTTTAGCTCAGAATCATAAAAACTGACTTGAGTCAAAGCCAGTTTTGTGTTTGAATTGAGTTGTTGTAAAAATTATCCGTATTAGTTTAAAAATGTAAAAACTTGTCCAGTGTTTCATGAGGAATGTTGGTAACAGACAATCACACAAGCACACAGAAATTGGCAAAAACCTTATTGCCCACCTTTGAGTTTAAGCAAGTGATCATGTTTTACTAGAGTTCATTTGTATTAATGTAGTCAGATTTATTAAAATAAAAATAATAAAATATGCTCACTTCAGGCTCTCCACAGTCGCACTCTTCTCCGTCCTCCACAAAGCCATTGCCACACTTCTTGCCTCCGACCAGGTCCTTCATGTTGGGCATGTTGAAAAGGCACATTCCCCCTCCCTTCTGGAAGTAGCTGTCCAAGTCCCGTTTGCTGCAGCGGCTGAAAACTCGAGGGAACGGATGCCTGGCAGCAGACAGACACGTTCATCTTTATAAAGCAATCTTTGTAAAAGAATCAAAAGCATATACAAATTCTGAGTTGTGTGTTTAGTCATTGTCCTGCTGGAAGGTGGCCCTTCGCAGTCAAAGATCTCAAGTTTCTCTCAAGAGTTTCTTGGTGTTTGGTTCTATCCACCTTTCCTGCACCTCTAACCATTTTTCTTGTTCATGTTGAAGAAAAAAATCCCCACAGCATGATGCTACTACCACCATGCTTCACTGTTAGGATGGTGTCATTGAGATGTTCTTGATGTTCAAAAACACCTTCTTCCACATGTTTGTGGAGTCAACAACAAACCATTTAGTAAAACTAAACAATCTGCCTCGTTTTTCTTCAATTATTGGTCTTTTGAACAGATCATCCCATTTGTGCAGAAGGTCTGCTCAATTCTATCAGTGTTTTCTTTGGCCTCCTAGATGTTTCTCTGATTAATGACCTCTTTAACCGTTTAGTGAGTTTTGGCAGATGACCCAGTTACTGTGATGACCTGTGATAATCCTTCTATTTTCTAATAATGGTTTTAATGAAGATCCATGGGATGTTTAGAGTGCTGGAATGTTTTTTAAAACCCACTTCTGAACAGTACTTCTTCACAATTATCTCTGACCTATGTAGAATGTTACTTGGTCTTCATGCAGTCTCTCACGCGGTGGTAGCTCTTCCTACTCAGAGACATTGCACTGTTGTTGATGCTGGGGGTGATCAGAACAGCTGGATATATACTTAAATCATCTGACACGTAAATATCTCACAGGAGAATCATATCACTCTGTTTACCAGTCGGTCTACGTTCCTACTCTTACCTATGGCCATGAACTCTGTGTAGTGACCGAAAGAGTGAGATTGCGAATACAGGCAGTTGAAATGAGTTTCCTCTGCAGGGTAGCTGGACTCTCCCTTAGAGACAGGGTGAAAAGTTCAGTTATCTGGGAGAGACTTGGAGTAGAACCGCTACTCTTCCACATTGAGAGGAGCCAGTTGAGGTGGTTCAGACATCTGATAAGGATGCTCCCTGGGTGCCTCCATTGGGAGATGCTTCAGGCATGTCTGACTGGGAGGAGACTCCGGGTAAGACCCAGGACACGCTGGAGAGACTACGTCTCTCGATTGGCCTGGGAACACCTTCGAGTCTTCCCAGAAGGGCTGGAAGAGGTGACTGTGGAAAGAGATGTCTGGGCCTCCCTGCTTAAGATGCTGCCCCCAAGACCTGACTTTGGAATAAGTGGAAGATAATGCTTGGATGGATGGAGATACGTATTTAACAAATTATGTGGTTTCTGTAGGTAACAGTTGGGGCTTTAAAGTGAAGAGAGTGAATATATATGCACACACCACATTTTTTTAGAATAATGTTGATGTTCTTTGATGTGTCTTGGACTCACCCAGTTGCGGCAGCCATCATGCAACCTCCCTGCTCAGCAGTGGCTTCCACACAGCAACCATCGTGGTCGTGGCTCATGCCAAAATTATGACCGATCTCATGAGCCATGGTGGCAGCGGCTCCAATAGGCAGGTCTGAGTGGTCCTGTGATGTGAATCAAAGGTATGTATCATTTAGGTGACTCCAGATGCATCTAATAAAATAACATGACATAGTGTGACACCAAGACTCTCTTTTTCTGTTTTAGACCACATATAAACTGTCAGTGGTAAAGTAACAACTGAGATCAACAAAGTCCATGCTCAATAATCCAGGTATACAATCCAACATTTTTCAGTCAGGTCATCTGGACAGTTTCTTTTTTGTTGTTGTGCTGAAACGTTTCGCCTTCAGTCCAGAAGGCTTCATCAGTCAAGGAAACACACAACAAAACTAATTCTTCCCCCAACCGCTTACTCCAAAGTGGAACAAACCAGTTCGGCTTGTGATAAGATGGTCTCTTTGGTAACAACTGAGATCCTTCAGAGAATGTGGACCAGTTTAAAAGCTGAAGTCTACTTTTTTCCTTCTTTTTTCCTCATTCGCTCTCATGCAAGACGGACGCCTTTCTTCCCTCTCCCATTCTCCTTCTGCTTTTTTGCTCTCTGTCTTGTATATCAGAGCTCCTATTTACACATCTTCCGAAACGTAAACTACTCTCATGGATCAGGTCAACTGGACTTTCAACGCAATCAATATTTTTTTTTTCAACTAAGCGACAGGGTCCTGGAGAACTCTCATGCCCCGCTGAGACACATGCAGCAGGATACGTCATGGATAAGCTGATGTGCCTTTCTGTATTGTCTTAGGAGGATGCCAAAGATGTTTATACAATTGGATTCATGATAGCAGGGTTTCTGCTTTTTGGCACCGGCGGATACCTATGTTATTGGCTATTAAAGAAGACGGTGGCAACAGTTTCGGCCATGGCAAAGCTGCCGACCCTGTGTGAAGGTTTGGTTGGTGCTTTGAGCACTCAAAATTAGCTGATTTACAAGATAAACCACAAGATGGAAGTGATTTGTGAGAATCGCAGGCCACTTGCGGCTTTGGGACTCGCTAGCATGTTGGGGATGACATTGGAGGGAGCTAATAAGCACAGACCAGTGGAATGCCTACAAATCTGGCCATTTTGGACCGAAAGTACCAGCAGAACTCAAGGCTGATGAGAAATAACGGTCTGCCTAAAAAAAATCAACAATTTTGGCTTATCTGAATCTGACTCCCCTGTTTGGCCTCGAAACAGGCCGAATTATCCAATTTCTCCTGGGATATGTATAAACTAAGAGAACTCTGTCTATCGGAATACCCCCACCACCGATGAGAACTTCTGTGAAAGCTTCTCAGACCTGCACCAGTTGACACCAACATCTTATCAGGACTATCTGGAAGTGTTTCATGGACAAATTACAAATTGCAACATCTTGTCATCAAATGAATATGTAATGTGCCTATAAATGTGCTTGCTGGTAAAGTTTTTTGATGTCTTAAATCGTGTCTATCAGGTTTGTATCAACGTCGACCCCCAAGTAAGCAGACTGATTCAGTAAAGACAGAGTCAGGAGTACAAAAGGTAAGTGAACTTTATTTACAGGTGATTGTGTCGTCGCAGCTGTAAGGGAGAAGAGGACAAGGTGAGTATGGGTTTTGTTTGTATTTAGAATAACGAGTCCTTGAGAAAGAGAATAACTCCTTACTGTTTGTGTTTTAGGTGAAGGCCGAGAAGGAGACGAGAGGAGAGGCCCTGGGTTTTGCAGAGGATCCAGTTTGGAGGTAACTGGCGGTGGAGAGAGGAGCAGGTTGACCCAGTTGTGATTTGTTTGAAGATGGTTGTTGAAGGGACACCGTTGAGCTGCATGTGGAGCCCAGTGGAGAGATGTAGTCCTAGGGAGGACTTGAAGAGACAGGCCGTGGAAGGTCCTGGAGGAATCACATACTCCGGAGCCTTGGATCGATGTCTGTCTGCGAATCGTCTGTTCTGTTCCAAAGATAGGGACAGGGCTGCTCTTGTCTGATGCCAGATCTTATGGCAGCGTCTGATGTAAAGGTGGATGAAGGGGACACTCACATCAGGCTCTTGTGAAGGGAGCAGTGGAGGAGCAAAACCCATTGCAACCTCGAAAGGAGATTTTCCAGTGGCTGCAGAGATTTGCGAGTTGTGGGCATACTCAATCCAAGGCAGATGTTGGCTTCAGGATGAGGGGTTGTTGTTAATAACACACCTCAGGGCTGTTTCCAGTTCCTGGTTGCAACGTTCTGTTTGGCCATTGGATTGAGGGTGGTATCCAGACATGAGGCTGGTAGTAGCCCCCAAAGCTTGACAAAACCCTCTCTACACTTGAGAAACTAACTGCGGTCCACGGTCGGAGACAATGTCTCGAGGGATGCCGTTAAGGCAAAAAACATATTCAGTGACAATCTGGGCAGTCTCAAGAGCAGAGGGAAGTTGAGATAAGGGAATGAAAGAAGCAGACTTGGAAAAACGGTCGACAATGGTGTAGATAACCATGTTACCATCTGAGATGGGGAGACCAGTGATGAAGTCCAAGGCTATGTGTGACCAGGGTCGGCTGGGGTTGGGAAGTGATTGAAGGAGGCCAGCAGGGGGCTGATTGCTGTGCTTGCTCCGGGTGCATGTGGGGCAGGCTGAAATGAAATCCTTGACATCTTTAATCAGGTAAGGCCACCAAAAGGATGCTTTAATGAGATGCAGCATGCATCAAGTACAAGGGTGGCAAGAAAACCTGGCTGTGTGGATCCACTCCAAAACTTTACCCACCATGGTAGTAGGAACAAACATTTTCCCAGGAGGGCCAGTACCGGGGTCTGGTTTGGTCCATTGGGCCTCCAGAATGTCCTTCTCAATAGGCCAAGTCATGACACCCACTTTACAGGAGGAAGGAAGGATGTTCTCAGGGGTGTCCGGACCCTCAGCCATGGAGAACTGTCGTGAGAGGGCATCTGGTTTGACGTTGCAGGACCCTGGAATATATGTGATGGAAAAATTTAATCTGGCAAAAAACAAGGACCACCTGGCCTGTCGGGCATTAAGTCTTTTAGCCCCCTGAACATAGGCTAGGTTCTTGTGATCTGTCCATATTATGAAGGGGAGTTCAGCTCCCTCCAGCCAATGTCTCCACTCTTCTAATGCTAGTTTAATGGCCAATAACTCACAGTTGCCGACATCATAGTTGGTCTCAGCAGCAGACAAACAGCATGAGAAAAAGGCGCATGGGTGGAGTTTTTCATAGTTGGGTGCTCTTTGTGATAATACGGCCCCTACTCCTGAGTCAGAAGCATCAACCTCCACAATAAACTGCCTCATGACATCAGGGTGTGACAAAATGGGGGCTGTTGAAAAAAGATGTTTAAGACTGTTAAAAGCAGAGTCAGCTTTGAGTGTCCAGTTAAACTTTTTTAGAGTAGAGGTAAGCTGAGTCAGGGGAGTGGTGACTTTGACCCATTTGTGATTTGTTTGAAGATGGTTCTCTAAAAAAGTTAAGTCTGGTCCTCTGGACATTCAAAAAACAAAACAAAGCAAACAAACAAAAAAAGTAGAAACGTTTCGTCTTTCATCCGAAAGACTTCTTCAGTTTGAGGTGCTGTATTCAACTCAGTCTTATAAATACCACCTTCTCGAAGTGGATCAACCAGTTTACTGCTGACAACCAAAACCAGCTGCTCACATGATCAAGAAGGACCATCAGCCTAACGATGGATCATTAGCACCCTGATGGCTGTTTACTATTCACAGGGGGTTGAGTGATACTAGCAATAACAGCATTGTAAGAGGGGGACAGTTGAACCCGGAGGCCTCCACCCGTGTTTAATGATGGACGATTTCTCTTCACAAAGATGGCCTCCTTTAATCCTCTCTAAAACCATCGTTCCACTCTATCCAGGATGTGAACATCTTCATCCCTGAAAGAGTGACCACTGGCCTGGAGATGAGTGTAGACCACAGAGTCCTGGCCTGATGATGTTGATCTTCTGTGCTGGGCCATCCTTTTGGCCAGTAGCTGTTTAGCTTCCCCGATGTAAGACTGATCACAGCCCTCCTGACACTGAACAGCATACACAATATTACTCTGTTTGTGCCGGGGGACTGGATCTTTGGGATGAACCAGTCTTTGCCGTAATGTATTTTGGGGTTTAAAAGCCACTGGTATTTTGCGTTTGGAAAATAAACATCTCAGTTTCTCTGATACTCCCGCAACATACGGAATGACCCCTGGTCTGGGTTTGTCCTTTTCACCTGATGGCTGACTGGAGTCCTGTTTGGGTTTCTTCTCTGCTTTCAGGAAGGCTCAGTTAAGATATCCACATTGCTCTAGAGCCTATCTTCTGTGGGATTTCTCCTTCTGCCTGGCTCCTGAGGTGGTTACTTTTTTAGATTTTTCTACTTGGATTATTGAGCATGCATCAGGATATTTTGAAGATGGTTGTTGAAGGGACACCGTTGATCTGCAAGTGGAGCCCAGTGGAAAGATGAGGTCCTAGGGAGGACTTGAAGAGACAGGCCATGGAAGTTCCTGGAGGAATCACAGGTGGTGATAACCAGCTGCAACAAAATGTTAGTTGGCTGTACACGAGTTACCAATTGGTAGATGATGTCCCAGCACTAAAGAAGTGCATGGCAGGAGCTTAAATACACCATCAAGCAGTCCTCCTCAGAGCAGCAGCAGGTGGAGTGAGTTGATGTTAATTAGCTGTGGAAGGAAGAGTGAGTGACAGGCAAAACCCAGGAATCCCACAGTGTCCTAGTAAGGACAAGGTGCGAAGAGATCTTTTTTGTAATATCACTATCCTTTCCTCATGGCCTTTTCCCCTTTTCTATCTAAAAGAATAAGGGACCGTGCTCCTAGGAGCAGCAGCAACATGCGCTCCACCCACCAGAATCAGGAAATGTCTTCAAAAATAAAGAAATCAAGTTTCTTTCGCCTAATAACCAGGATTATTTTGCCATGGATGACAGAACCATTAGCATGTTTTGTGTCGCTCTTTACCACTGTCTGAATATACTGTATGACTGTTCAACAACAAAACCCTGCTACACAACATTTTTTTTGTTGTTCTGGGAAAATTATTTTCTTCTCTATCCTTCC